TAGACATTTCTAGCATCACATGCTCACACATGTTTGCTTGTTTTAAACACGAGCAAATTAACCCAAAGCAGGTAGAAGGACGCGATAATAAAATAGCAGAAATCAGCGGCCATCCAGAACAGCGAAGGAGATCGGCGACAGTCTGGTTCCGTGAGGCGAAGAACCCCGAGTGGCCTTTTCCCGCGTCGGCCCGCGCGGGGTGCGGGGCAGAGGCCGCGGCAGGTGGGGTCGGGGCGCCAGCTCCAAGTAGGCGGGATGCTCTTTACCGCGCAGGTGCCGCCGCCTCCAGCCAGGCTTCCGCTCCGAGCGCTGGTCGCGCCCCCCACCCCCCAGCACGCGCTTACGGGAGCTTTCCACGTCTTTTTAAAATTCCCACTTCTAGTTTTCCATGTCTGCTCTGTGTCACGGTCGCGAACGCTAACGGAATGGCTGCGTTCCTCGTCAGGCCACAGCGTCTGGTTGGCGGAGAAAGGCCGAGTGTCGAGCTCGGGGCTGGGGCTCCGCGGGGTCTGGCCTCACCCCTCGATATTTTATCTCAAAATGTCTTCACAATCCGAGTGAAAAACAAAAGCCTGAAAAATGAGCATTCCCCAAAGTCAGCAATTTTACTGAAGAAGTAACCGGTCTTGTAAACAGTCGTGTCTAAGGATAGTCCTCAAAATTTACTGGATAGCAAAAATGGGAAGTGGTTTTAAATACCCAGAGTTCAAGGTTTTTACCTGGTGAGACAGCTGTGTGGCCAGGTGACCTGCAGGCACCATAGCTGGTGTGGCGCAGGGTGTCAGCGAGGGGAGGCCCACCCCCACCCCACCCCCACCCCCAGGGCTGCAGCCCACGCTCTCGTGCCTGCAGGACCTCGCTGGCTGACTGGTTGGCGCGCGGAGGAACTTAATGCAATGTTACATCTAGTCTGTTCTTCCATGTGTAGATTTTCAGACTTAAAATGATTGAAAGCGGGGTACATCTGACACCCGTGGCATCACACAGTGAGAACTGGCAGTGTCTTATTCTGTCGGTCATAAATACAACGATGGCAGTTTAGCCAGCGACGTGGCCGTCTGCGTGGTTCGAGCCTGGGACAGCACGCACTTGCACGGCCTCACCCGGCGGGACTGGCTCATCACAGGGCGGCACACAGCTGCACACACAGCTGCCCAAGGTGCTGCATCGGACGTGGGACAAGCCCGAGTCAGGCCCCTGAGGCTGTGTGTCCGGGTGTCTGCAGGACTGGGCAGCGTCTGGAAGGTGGGGGTGAAGGCTTGACCAGCCCACCGAGTTGTGGGGAGTCTGCTCGCTCCCCTGTAGTCCAGCGATGCCTGCGCCCGGCTTCCTTTCCAGGGTCACTGGCCAGTGGGACAGGAGGGACAGCCCTGTTCGGAGGGTGAGAATGGCCGATGACGTTCCAGGCTGTCTGGAGCGCGTCCCAGAATTTGCACGGCAGGGCCGTACGCTTGGCGTCCTGTCTCGTGACCAGATTGGTGATCGCTTGCCCCCGGGGCCTGGAGTGTGTGTGTCCATCGCCTCTGTGTTGTGCGTGGGGCCGTCTTTGCTGGGGGCCTTTGGACGTCCATGGGTGCAGTACAGCACTGGGCAGCACACGGCCACCCTCCTGCCTCAGCCTGGTGGCCTCGAGCTGTCAGACAGAGGAAAATTTAATTTTTACAAGATTGATAGTATTGGAGTGATATTTTTAGCTGAGTGTGGTTCAGATAATAGGCCATTAATTGAAAAAGGAAATTGAAATGAATTTATCTTGTACATAAATGCTGTCACAGGCATTAATAGGGATCAGAAAATAGTGGCCTGTTCCCAGAAACATTGAACCTGACGCTGCACCTGGTGCATGCTCGTGACGGTGGAGGCATGGGGGGCGGGGCTGCGGTCTGGGGGGTGTTGGGCCTGGGGAGGGGGTTTGCTGCAGGCCTGGGAGGCTGTGGTCTGGAGGGTCTGCAGGTCTGGAGGGGCTGTGGCCTCGAATGGGTCAGGCCTGGGGGTGGGGGTCAGGCCTGGGGGGCCGCAGCCTGCGGGCACTGTTGCTCGGCCAGGGTCAGGCCTGGAGGGCTGCGGGCAGTGGCAGGAGGCGACGGATGTCCATCCTCACCAACAGGTGGCGCCAAAGCAGCGTTTCGCATCCGAACTTTTGGAACAGGTGCTCGGAGGGCAATTTTAGACTTAAAATGATTACGTCGAATCCTGTTGCTCCTGAGAACTGTTCCGAGTGGCCATTTACTGAAGCAGGAGGCTCATCTGGTCTGCTCCGGCCCCCACGGCCCCCCTGGGCAGCATCCCTGTCCCCCAGGCCTTGGTCGCTGGCCCCTCCCCACCTGCCTGCCTTTTCCATGGGAAAGGGGAGGGCAGAAGTCCCTCTCCTCCGAGGACCCGCCAACCCGGCGTGTCGACACTAGCCCCTAAGAGACAGGGCCCATCCTGTCCGTGGGAACCTGTTTCAGCATCCGTCACAGGCTGGATGTGGGCCTTGGATGGTGTCTGCACAGCCACACGTGAGCCAGGCCGGATGGCTGGGTGCTGACATGCCGTGTCCCAGGCCCCTAAGTGCCCCCAGGCCGACTCCTCCTGGCAGTGGCCCCCGGTGTGCTGGTGTCCACGTTCTGATTCCGCCTCCCTTCCAAGTTCAGACCCCCCGAGAGCAGCAGCTTTGTCCCCCG